CGCAGTTCAATATTTTTCTAATTTGGGTTCACAGTCAGGGAAATATTTACAACAATTGCAGGGTATACGAGCTAGAAAGCGTGCTTCAGGAACTCACTCGGAATACTTAAGTAATCTGGGCATATCGGTAACATAATGCAAATTGTTACAGAGTTCTTTTTGTGCTGAAAATTTATATAAAGAATGGGAACACTCAACGATCTGTATGCAATCTGTCCACTTTCCACTTAAATGCAATCCAATATTCTCATTGAGATTCTCTGTAGAGATAACAGTCTTGCGGTAGGTTTTCTTACAGGTTACTGAAAAATAGGTAACCATACGTAAAGATTGAATCTTTCTTTTAATCATATCTATCGCAGGTGTGGGGAAGACGATGACAGTGCTTTTCATTCACTCTGTTTTTGCTCAGTTCATTCACAGCGGCGACTCAACACTTTAGGGGTCCTCTTTCTTGAGTATTTCGATCAATTACATGTCCTCATACTAAACAGCATTTTGACTTTCGCCAAAGGTTTCAGGTGGTTTTAAATCTTACGTTGCCCTCTCTATACGGTAACACAATGCGTCAATAGGCCTAAGTGGATCCCCTAAGGTTCGCTGTTATAACCTATAACCTAACCTTACCTATATGAAATCACATTTCACTCAAAAACGTGAGTTATTTGAATATATAGAATCAATATATGGTATGTTATATAGTATAACGAACTACTTTATTAAATTAATATTACCTTTCTACTTGCTACTGCTCTATATATCTTATAACGTACGGGCAGTTATTATTTGTGTAAACAAAGTGAATGAAATGTGAATAGGTAACGAGTGAATACATTTCAAATGAGTTATGTGTGAAGCTAAAAATGAGTATTATAAATGTGTAAACATATTGGGAGAGAATGAACTAAACACAATGAAGCAAATAAGAAATCAAATACTATGTATGGTTTGCTCAAAACAAACCATATATAGGTTATCAAAACACTATTTATAGATCTAAACAGTGTCTAAATTGGTATCGACGGTAACGTACGGACTGAAATTATGTTTTAATTTTTTAAGCATTTCAATTTATTTGATTTGTATATTTTTGGCATTTTAAAATTATTATTCTTGATTCTTGATTCTTCTTCTTCTTGAGTTAGTGCTATTACGCACTTTTACTCTATAATGGCTGGGGGGCTTATCTCTACCCCACTGTAGGCTTTAACTAGGCTAAAAACAAAAATCATATCATTTATTTGTCTTTTAGTTGATGACGGACCTTAAATCAGCATATCTTCCTGAGAGTCCAGAAGTGGACTTGAGGATTGTTGGGGCGGGGTTAATTAGCGTATCAACTTTAGTGAATAATTTTAGAGCTCTGTCTCTGATATATTTTTTTTATTATATTATTATATATGTATAAAAATATATATCACTATATTAATGAAATATTTTAATATAATATATTAATAAGCATTACGTACTCGTATGTGAAATGAATTAATATAACAATTTTCAAAATTTATTATTTAACTATTTTTACAGTTGTGCATTTTAAGTCTGACAAATCTAGATATTAATTAATTTATGTGTGAATTTTTCCTAACCATTCACTTTGAAGTTAAGTTTTTACAATTGGAATGGAATGTTTGTAATTTTTATTTGTATACATTTTCATTTTGTTTTTAATTCTTTTTTTTATTTTTTCTTAATTCGGGTGGTAGGTTGGAGTATACATTGTCATGTCAGTCAGCACCGTTAAAATGCATTGTACATAGAAACTATTTTTAAATAAATTTTTCTTAGATCCAAAAAAGATTAGACGTGTCTGTATAAAAGCACTTTTCGCAAACCCAACCGCCGCATGCAACTTGTTTTCTTCTTAAATGGCAAATACTGCGTGCAACAGATACATTAAGCATGCATTTTCTAATAATGAAGATATAAAAACTAAAAAGTTTAAACTTAAAACTAATTTAAGACCATTTTTAGTCATAAGTTTTGATGCAATTTGTAATTAAAAATGACACAAATTTTAAGTAATAGAATTTATTCTCATGAAATTAATTTTGAATATAGTTTTGGTATAATAAAAATGCATCTTGAGATTTTTTTTTTTTTTTAATATATATTGCAAAATAGTTTCTCAACATAAATTATAACCTACTTATAGCTGATATCCTATTGCAATAAACAAAAGTTGTCATTTCTACTACTATCTCAACTTGCATAACAAATCTGAGGTTGCAAGGTTCATATTTTCCAGCTGGCGTATATGTGCAATCAGTATCTGGAATACTTAAACTAAATTAATTTTGGTTTTTTTGAACCCAAAAAAATATATTAAATCTCAGCTACTTTAAAATTTTTTCCAACTATAAAACAATGATTTACTACTTCCTTTTTTTACAATAATTTTATCCTAAAATCTTAAACTTTAACAAATTAACTGATGAGCTTTAACCAATAGGCTTGGGGGTATGCACAGCAGAATAGTAATTAACCGTGTCAAGTTAAGTTTAAAAGTTTGGCTTACAAAATCTTCCAATTCGATCGGCTCAACACTTTATGTGCAGACAGCAAATTTATACCACGAAGTCTGTTCAATGAGCACGAAACAGTTGCGCTCAAGCAAAATACTTCTATCCGACTTACTTGCTTGCAAGTAGCGAAAACAGCAAACTGCAAGATACAAGATACAAATACTAAACTGGTTGGCTAGTCTGCTGGTACGGTATCGAGCTGTAAGGTTGTTGGCGTTGAAGTTGAAGTTGTTTGATAATTTGTGCGCAGGCGTTTGTGTGCCACGTACTGTTGCACTTTAGTCGTACTCGCACAATTGCAACTAAATTGCAAGGCTTGCTATGGTTTTAAGTATCTTTTTTTGTGCTTAGCTAATAATTTCATTGAAGGTTGTTACTCAACAACAACTTAACAGTTGGGCAAAAAGTCTCAAAAATTATCGGAATATATTTACAAAATTTTCGGTTGCAATTTTTTTGATATTTGAAATTATTTTTTTTCTTCTTATTATTATATTATGTTGATTGTTGATGTTTAAATAGATAGATAGATAAAGTTCAAACTTTGATAGTTGAAATGTATAAAATTAAAAATCTACAATATATTAGAAATAATGACAACCTGTTTAACATACCTTTTATAATTGATATCAAAAATATGTATATTAAATTTTTTATTATATACATATTAAAAAATAATATAAATTTTTAACTATTATAAAGGTTACACATTTTTGACACATTGAAATCAGTCAAACAGTACTGTCCTCCAAGACATCATATGCTTAGTTTAAGATTAAGCAGCGTTTAAACCCTGCTGAATATATTAAAAGTTTAAAAACTTACTGCAAAAATGATAATTCTGTATTAAGTACGTTTCTAAAGAACTCTCGACAGTGCTTAGGTGTGTTTTTTCTTTAATGCATATTTATTTTATTTTATGTCGTATTCCATCAGGAATATAGGCTATTTACAAAGAAATTCCAGTTATTTCGATTTGAAGCTAAGCATCTAGGTTCGTTAAAGGATTTGCCAGTTTCATTTAAGATGGTCATTCACCAAGTGGTTCGTGGTCGTTCTCGCCTTCGGGAGCCTGGTGGATTCCACTATAATGTTGCGTGGCAGATTACTTTATAAAACTTCCTAATCGTGTGACCCAGCCAGCTGTATTTACGCCTTCTTATTTAGACGTTTATGTTTTCTTGTCTTGTTAGTTGAAGTAGGTTTTAATATGAAAATGAGCGAGGTCACTAGATTTTAAGTTAATTGCGCAGGGATCTATTAGTAAATACTTGCTGCATTTTCGGAGCCATAGAGCCATATATAATTAAGAACAGTAAAAACTCAAAAATAACTATCAAAAAATCAGAGATTCCAAAAAAAAAATATATGGTGTGGTATATGCTCATTGTATCAAAAAAAAAACTCACTTTATGGTGTGATGTTTGGCGACAGTATCCAGAAATAGGGACTCTATGATCTGAAAGTGCAATATGATTGTGCTGTTTTGAATTTTGAAAAAACAAAGGTGTGATACAAACTATCACTTCTAATTCCTACTGCCACATTTTTTTAGAAACGGTGTCACAACCCACACAATAAGTCAATGTATAGTCTACATGGCCTTTATATTTATGCAAGATGTCAAACACGTATCTAGAAGATCATAGATAACACCGTTAGCACATGATGTTTAAGATATAAAGCAAATAAAATATCGTTCATAAGACCTCATAAAACTGAACGGTAGCAATTATAGGAAACATAGGTATCAATTATTTGCTAATATCGATTAGGAAATCGTGGTAAGCGATTCAATATTACTTTAAATGACTCTTGATGCAGCTTTGACTAAGACGTAATATGCTAAAAACTTACCTTTTAAATGATCGCATCTCTATTTGCTAAAAATTTTGAGCTTCATTAAATATTCAAAATTATTCTAGAACCATTTAGTTTCATACTGTACTGGATAGGTACGATCGCCATAATAATCTAACCCAAATTTGCATTAATGCGGGACACTTATTTAATTGTTATTAAAATTGTTTTTTAAAGTCGTTTCAAATTTAATGAATCTATGTTCACTTTACTATTTAGTATCTTTGTGAATCTTTTAGTTTACTAATGTAATTTAACCTAACTTATGCCTTGCATATATTATTTTACCTGCATCACAGTGGAATATACAAGTTCTTAAATAGTAGCACCTCTTTTATGTATATATATTTTTAAGAAGTGTTAGTGAGATCTTTTTGGAATACTATATTTTCTACGTTCACATTTTTATTCATTTTATTTATTTATTTTTTTTTTTTATTTTTTTATATTTGCTATGTACATATATATAATATTGTCTTAAGAAAGAAATATCATTCAAATTCCTACCTGATTATGCCAATATTGTATATTCTAAACTACTTATTAGTTTCTTTCTAATATTTATTTGAAAATGTAATTTTTTTTGCCAATTAAAACAAAAAATAATTTTAATTCAATTTTTGCGATTTATTTTATAAAATAAAAATTGTAAGTACATGTTTTAAGTAAAGATATCATTGGAATTTCAATATACGGAGAATAACATTACATGCCTCTTCCACTGCAAAAAAAAAGTGAACGCATTTTAAATTAAATACATATATACTTATTTAAAAAAAAATACAATACATTATTAATAAAAATAATATATAAATAAATTAAATATTAAAAATTGAATTTTATTTAGTTTTAATAAATCACATTAAAACAAAATTCGTGTTAAATAATGATAATAATAATATTTGTAAGTTTTTAATATAGCACGCAACAGTATACTTATACAAATATATATATATATATAAATATTTTAAATACACATTTTTTATTAGATTTTTCCTTCATCCAGGATAGCGAAAGAAACATATGTGAAGTAATGAATTTATCTTTCGTTCTTATTAGAAAGTCAATAATAATATTTAATGAATTTTCTTTACATAAAGTTTTCATTAGCATCATACATTTCGGTTAGAATTAAACATAGAGTCCCTTCTCTTCCACCTTTTTTATTTTATTAAAGAAGACATTATCTCCTTGCCTATAAAACCGTTCCTTTTTCTAATGGCCAAGAATGAATTGAGACAATTTTTGATATATTAAAGTGAAATAAATACCCTAAATAGCACTCAACTTTTTATCTTAAGTACTGCGACCCCACTTACTATATTTAATATAAAGAAATTTGTACAAAACACTTGATGAATGGTAATCGCTAGGAATCGGTTTGTATTGACGCCACGTCACGCTACTGCTACATATTTTGATAAATTACTATTATTAAGTACTAATGGTATTAACTACCACTAGTTAATATTAGCTTCTACTCCTGTTTTTCGTGACTACTTATTACACTAAAATGGAATAGAATATATAGGGCATTTGTCTCAGCGGAACGAAACACAGCGATAATGGCTAATGTTTTACGTTGCCGTCCGACCCTAACTTATCCTTTTCTTTGAAAAGCAATATCTCAAATGACTTTTATCACTATTCCCAGCGCAGTAAGCTTCTTCTTGCTTAGATCAAACCAGCGGTCGTAGAGAATGTGACTAGAGGTCTCATCTTCCTCCAAGCAGAGTAGAGATTTTTTTTATTTCAAATGACATTCATCACAATTCCCAACGCAGTAATCTTCTTCTTGCTCAGATCAAACCAGCGGTCATAGAGAATGTTGTGAATAGAGGTCTTATCTGCCTCAAAGCAAAGTAGAGATGTTATTTCTACTAGCGCTGGTGAAATTGTAGAGATGAACAAGATTTTTAGACTAACGGTAAACAGAAATTTTGCAACAATATAAGAGATCCATAAGAGCTGTCGGTGTGGAAGAACTTATTCCACAATAAGCTGGCCAACAGAATTGTATAACTGATCAAAGTTCCTGCGCTAATTTTGTACTGACTGAATGCAACTCGCAGAGCACTATTTTGTTTTTGAAATCATGACACCTGATCTACCTACTACTATAAATACAATCGAGCCTATCAACTACCTTATATCCCATTGACAAATAAAATGATATATATGTAATTTTTAATCTCTCAAAAATGCTTTAAGAATCTTTTTGAGATATTCATTATGTAGTGAGCAGTATAGGTATATTATATAAAGTTAATATTATATTTTGCATCAACTTTTAAATATTTTTGTTCATCAAAAGATGCAGTAATACACGTTTTATTAAAATATTTAATACGCGTTTTAAACTATGAATATCTCATGCATATCATAAAAATTTAATTTACTCTTATTTTTTTTTTAAATATCTGAACCTAATATTACAATATTTATAAAGAAACTTTTTTTATATACATTTAAGTTATATTTAAATTGAATTTGTATGTGGAAATGAGCTGAAATCTTGTAAAGACGGATGAGCGTGGGTTCTTCAAACATACGTTTGGGTGTAGCAACTTTTTCCAATGATTAGCTGAGAAGTTATTTTTTTATGAGTGGGTTTCGTTGTGCATTATATTTATTAAGAAAAAATTTAAAAAAATATATATATTTATTTTATTACTGATATAGATTTGCATATTTAAATGTAAATTAAATTTCACATCAGTGTGGTCGGCATAGCGTAAAGTAAATTAAATCGAGCTTAACAAATTTGATATGATATTACGATCAAAACAAAATCAATCAGATCCACATAACTAATTCTTTTGTATTCTAAATATCAATTGGTTTTTATATTCTTACAGATATGTAATAATATAAACAAAATTTTATCACAAGTACTAACAAAATTTATCTATTTAAATATATCATTGTTTATAGAATACATGTAAGATTTGCTGAATTTAAGCCCTACATAATGCGTATTCTAAAAGCATACATGTGTTAAGTTTTGTTAAAAAAGTGATCTGAAAGTTTTTATTTCATTTTTAAGTAAAATCCTTCTTAATTGAAAAACTGGAGATCACGCACCCTGGGTGCAAGTTACCATAGAATTGTGCTCTGATGATACACATTCCAAAAAATAAGAACCCAGAAAGAAGAGAAAAAAGAAACAATTGAACATTGCATTTGCAAATACCCAGTTCTGACAATATGAAAACATATCACTCTGACAGTGTATAACATAATGCCTGACGGACATCCCTCATATAGATCTTACAAAACCAATTCCCTTTATTAATCGCATAGGTTGGTTTTAAAAATTAAAATTTTATATCCGAATCATGTGGTAACAAATCGCACTTATACGCTTGTAGAAGCTCTTTCAATACTATCACTATCAGTGATCACTATCACACTATCTTCTATTGCTAGCATAAAACCTTTGGATGTGGAAGTTTGCCTTTCCTTGTCATAAGTTTACTGCTGTTTAAGCTATATAGTCAGATTTTCGTTAGCTTATGTTTATAAGCTTAATTTTTCAATTTTCGATCATTTCCTCTGTTCTTTATTTAACTATAAAGATGTAAAATTTTTATCGCCCATATTTTTAATATTTATCCATCGTAATTATTTGGCTTGTAAATACTGTCCGGGTATGAAGAGATCTGATATTAATTGCCTCACGTATCTGATATAGCGTTTTTCTGTCTATTGTAGTTTATGGATGATGGCTCTAAAATTTTTTTTGCGCCTCATCGATTCATTTCATAGTAGTTTCTCATCACTTAATTATATCTAATTATATAATTAATTGTAATTATTATATATAACCCATTCCTTTGGGTTAGAATTAGAACTAAGCATATATTTATTGGTTTTTTATTTATTTTATATTATTTTATTGTGATTTATTTTATTATATTTCATTTTATTTCTTTATATTTTATTTCATGTTTCTTTATATTTTATTTTTGTTTATTTCATTTTATTTCAATTTACTTTAGTTTATTTTATTTTATATTATTTATTGTATTGTGTTTTGTTTTATTATATTTTATTTTGCTTCATTGTATTTCATTTCGTTGTATTTTTTTTTTATTTCAATTTATACCGTTTTAATTCAAGATATTGTATTTTATTTAAAATGAAATATTATCGCATTTTTTTCTATTGTATTGTATTGTATTTTATTTAAATTAATTTTTTGTTATTTTATTTATTTTATTTTGATTTATTATTTTATTTTAATATAATCAATTTTATTATTATTTTATTTTATTTTATTTATTTTATTTTTATTTTATTTTATATTGTTATATTTTATTTAATTTTATTGTACTTTTTTATATTATTTTATTTGTTTTATTTTATTCTGTTTTAGGTTTTTTTTTTAATATTTTTGATTAATCTTATTGTATTTCATTTTAATTAATATTTTGTTATCTTATTTATTTTATTTTCGTTTATTATTTTATTTTATGTTAATCAATTTTTGTTATTTTATTTTATTTAAGTAATTTTTATTGTATTTTATTTTATTATATATTATTATTTTATTGTATTTCTTTTTTATTTTTATTGGTTTTATTTTATTCTGTTTTTTTTAATATGTTTGATTTATCTTATTGTATTTTATTTTAATTAATTTTTTGTTATCTTATTTATTATATTTTGGTTTACTATTTTATTTTAATTTTTTGTTATCTTATTTATTTTATTTTCGTTTATTATTTTATTTTATGTTAATCAATTTTATATTATTTTATTTTATTTAATTAATTTTTATTGTATTTTATTTTATTATATATTATTATTTTATTTTATTGTATTTTTTTTTTATATTATTTTAATTGGCTTTATTTTATTGTTTTAGGTTTTTTTAATATGTTTGATTCATCTTATTGTATTTTATTTTAATTAATTTTTTGTTATCTTATTTATTATATTTTGGTTTATTGTTTAATTTAATTTTATTTTAATTTTTTGTTATTTTATTAATTTTATTTTTGTTTATTATTTTATTTTGTGTTAATCAATTTTATATTATTTTATTTTATTAATTTTTATTTTCTTATATTTTATTATATTTTATTGTATTTTTTTTTGTTTTTTGTATTTTATTTTATTCTATTATAGTTATAGCTATTTTTTTTTAATATTTTTGATTAATCTTATTTTATTTTTTTTTAATTAATTATATTTTAATTTATTGTTTATTATATTATTTTTTTTATTTTTGTTGAGTTTGTTTGTTACACTTTATTTAATTTTATACTATCAATTTTATATTGGAGTAATATCGATTGCATAATATTTTCAATCATGCTAATTTAACTTATAAATATACACTAAGTTATAATTATATATAAGTATTCTGACTATATTAATTACTCATTAGCAAAGCAAACATTTTGAGGTGGTGTTGCTTAATTAATTTTTTTTTTTTGAGTATTAGAGAAAAATATTATGCAGACTGTAGAAAATACATAAAAAATAATAAAGAACTGCATTTAAAGCATATATGGATAATGAATTTTTTTTCGTTATTTCTACGCATCCGGTTTTAAACACCCGCATAAAGCGGATGTTATTCCAAGACTAGTAACATAACTAAAACATTAAATTTTATTGTTTTCATAAACAATGAAAAATTAAAAAAAAATAAACTCCTAACAATTTAATGTTATGGTCTGTTTGTTGGTAACAGATCGCTTTTGAATCTAA